AGTGCAAAGTTTTTGTAATCGGAACGACCTCGAGCGTTTAGAGCAGTAACGATTTTCCCTGATATATATCGCGCAAATAAAAGAGCATGGATGACACTAGCGTTGATGAATGATTGGTTTGAAAATCATTTTATACCCGAGGCTCGGTGACATTTGAATTCAGTTGGTTTACCTGATGACTCAAACATAGTCCTGATTGTTGACAACTGTTCGGCGCATACTTCACTTAAAGTTTTAGTGAAAAATAATGTATCCGTATTATTCTTCTCTCCAAATTGTACACATCTATCATTCAGCCTATGGATATGAGAACAGTGCACGCGCTGAAATGCAAATATAAAGTAGCATTTTTAAAATCTATATTAAATTTCTTGATCAACGGCAAGACTATTCAAGACTTTTTGAAATTTTTTAGCATAAAATCTGCTGTGTGGAGCATCGCGAGATCGTGGGAGCATGTGTCTCCAGATATGTTTAACCCATTAGCCGCTGGTGTTGCATAGATGCAACGGTCAAAATAAATGCATATATAAATATAACTACCTAAGATATTTTATACCAGCAGATGATTTTGTGTAGGGAATATTATGAAGATTATTTCTGTAAAAAAAATTTTGCCTTCAACAATCATTTTGTTTATAATAATTAATCTCATACTTTAAGCAAAATTTAAGCAAAATTTCGACCGGGTATTTTTGCTGAAAATATTTAACAAAAGAATTGCCGTCTTAATGAGTGATCTATTTTAGTCAAGGTCACCGTTTATCAGAACATTACATCAGTCAGATGTTTATATTTGTGTTGGGAAGGAAGGGAAAACAGGTGTTGTGCTGACGCAAAGTCAGCAGGAAACGGGTAGTCAATCTCCTTTTTCACTCATTCCTTTCGATGTTCTGGTTCATGCTCTGGTTGTTTAAAAATGCCTAGAATGAGGTATCTTACATTAGAAGAAGCCCTTCAAAGAGTTTTTGGATGAAGAAACAGATGAGGATAATGTTAATAATGACCAAAATGAAACTCATATTGTTGTTGTTCCCCCAGAAATTGCAGAATCTAGTGACGAAGAAGAAAGGAATGGCAACGTTTTAAATAATGATAATGATATTTTACCAATTGATACTGCTGGGGAAGTTGAAATTCATGTAAGAAGTAAGTTTCAGCCTTCTAAGAGCAGTTACAGTCATACTAAAAAGTTTAAAAACAGAAGACTGAAATTTTGAAGTAGATAAAAAAGGAACTGTTAGTTATGTCTCAGGAAGAACATGAAGAAAGAGATAGAAGAGAAATTATAAAAGACAAAATACAAGGTAAAACTAGCGCACAGATTTTCATTTTGGTTTAGATATTTACTCTCTTTTTGTTGAACAGATAAATACGGTCAGCAAAGGAAAAAAAAAAAAAAAAAAAAAAGCACCCGGAATTTATTGCATCTGAAGCCTATATGAGAAGATTCATTGGAATATTATTGCTTACAGGATATCATTCTTTACCTCAAGAAAATATGTACTGGTCTTTTGATAAGGACATTTCTGTTCCTGTTGTACGAGAATCAATATCACGTTTGCAGAACAGGAATATGAAAGCAGAATTTGAATTTGACAATAGTCAAAGTGACAATACTGATAAATTATATGAGGTCAGATCGTATCTAAATTTACTAAATATCACCACTTTTTACTACTGGAAATATAAAGTCTCCTTTAGATTTCAGACGCGAGAATACATTATTTCTTTTGCAAACTCCTATTGAGAGTGTAGAATTAGCCAGAAATAGATCAGCAACAGTAAGACCTAGTAAATTCAGCATTCAAAAACCACTGCATTGAGATGGTAGACATTTTATTGTAAAGTCCGCTGATAACAAAAGACTTTGTTGTAAAGAGTACCACAGCCAGACTGTTTATAGATGCAAAGTATGTAATGTAGCTTTACATCATGATTGTAATCAAGCTTTTCGTGCTTGAATCTTTCAACTGAAATAATCTGTATTTGTAAAAGAAATACAATGTATATTTTAATATTAAATTAATTACAAGTAAAGTGATTTGTAGATTTATAAAACGTTATACAGCTAAAAAGTAATCCTGCACTCCACTCGAATGAAACATCACACGAGTACAATCCTACTCACTAAACATGCGTAGTATTATTCCGCTGACGTTGCGCAGACGCAACACTCGCTTTTGCCACAGGTAAGAGCATTTTTTTTTTATTTTCAATGTAAATTTATGTTATAAATGCTTAATTTAATACTTGTTATTATTTTCATGAGAAAAGAAACATTCCTTGTGATTTTGGCGGTTAATGGGTTAAAAATGCTTAGCATAATTTATGGCCAGCTACCATATTTCATGGTGAGGACGACGAAGATGATAGCCGCGAATTTGAAGGTTTTCACACATCGCAAACTAAAGGTGAAATTTTCCAGTTATTGGGTTTTGTAAAGAAATGTGGAGAAGTGGTAAAAAATGAAGATGATATAACAGAAGTCTTTCATTGCGATGACAATGCCCCAATCATCAATTAATGGACTGCAAAATCTGTAGTATGGTTCTAAATCCAGAAAATATCCCTTCCGTTAGTGAAGAAAGTGACAGAGAGGTTATTGAAAACGAAAAAATTTCGATTGACAAGTTAATCAGTATTCTCGACACCACCAATTACAGGACTTGAACAGTGGAACTTTGTAACTGAACAAGAAATGATGTCTGTTTATATAACTAAAGAGAAAGTATTAGCACAAAAAACAAAGCAACTTAAACAACTTGCATTGAAAGAAATGCTTAATAAAGTAAACAAATAAATATTAAGCTTTTTTTTTTTTTTTTTTTTTTTTTTTTTTTGTAAATTTTGGTACCCTTTAGATCATAATTGCTCTTTATTTCATAAATCACGGTTTCATATTTTTAATTGTACAATTTCTGCATGCCATCTTACCAGATTTAAATTGATGATCTATAATCCACAAAAACCCCTAATCCGAAATCGCCGATGTCCTGATGAGTCCGGATTACGGACTTTGTACTGTATTTAATGCATTAACCTATACACACAAGTCCAGTTTTAACATTCAGTGACAGATAATTAACATTATATCACTAGTTGAAAACTTCAGTATGAGCACTTTTCCCCCTTCGAATCATATTTTAATTCTGATGAGCAATGTATATTATACATTGTCCTCCAAAAGTTAAGGAACAGCATGTTTTTCAAAGCTCACCATTACAAAAATGTAACATTTAAATTCACAGTTTATATGCATGATAACAATGAATTTTAAGAAAATATATGTATAAACAATAACTACCACCCTTGTTTTATAGAAATGAATCTTTATGCAGGAGTTGGAGAAAAATACAAAAATTGCTTTGTTCACGAGTGTTGATCTTCAATTCTTATTAGCGATTTCATTGAAAATATCCAGGAGAGCCTATCAATGTCCAGAAGAAGTCATTCGGCCGATTCGTGGAGGTGGTTGGTGATAGGATGGATGGAAACGAGGATTTCACAAGCTGATGCTGCTAGACGTCTCAGTGTCTCTCGTAGTGTACTCCACTGGCTTTGGAATCCGAGGATTCTGTGTCCAGAAGACATGTTCCAGGCAAACCTAAAGTTACAATACCTGTGGGAGACTGCTGTTTAGCTTTTTCGGTCCAAAGCAGGAGTAACATTTCTTTGCCTCAGCTATTGGCAGATCATTAGTGGCAACAGGAACAAGAATCTCAGCTACTACAGTGTGCAGCCATCCGCACAATACAGGTTGGTATGCAAGACAACCAGTTGTTTGTGTCCCTTGACCCCAGGACACAGAGGTGCCCATTTATGCTGAGCAAGAGAACACGTCTCCTAGACCAGTCATTGGAGAGTGATTCATGTCATCAGCTGATCTGGAGGGAACAACACACCAGATACAATCAATCCCACATTGTGGAAAGACACAGTTATAAAGGTGGTGGAATAATGGTTTGGGCTGGTATCCCTCTCGGTGGTCACACTGACCTGCATGTGTTCCATGGAGGAGCTTTGACTGGTGTGAGATAATCGAGACAAGATCCTTGATAAACATGTCCACCCATATACTGCTACCACTGGTACTGGATTTCTTTTGATGGACGACAGTGCACAACTGCACCAAGCTTGGGTTGCTGAAGAATATCTTGAGGGTCATGGTATATAGTGGATGGAACGATCAGCTCTATCCCCAGACCTGAAACCGATAGATCATCTTCGGGACTAACTTTGGGAGACAGGTTGCTGTTTTAAGTCCTCCTCCAAGGTCATTAGACGAGCTCCATGCCTGGTCGTTGCTTCCTATTTCACTGAAGGACAACTTAATTCACAGCATTGAACGTCGCTGCCGCCAATGTATTGCAGCTACGGCTTGACACATTCCTTATTAAAACCCATTTTTGTAATGTTACCACCGCAGTTTTCCTCAAAAAAAAAAAAAAACTGTGATTTACTGTTTCTCCAAGACTGGATTTCTCTGCCAAGGGTGAAATTTTTTGTTGTAATTCATGTCTGTGTTGAACTTTAGAAACATTCTATGTCACATTCATTAAAGAACTGGTTAGTGAACATGTTCTCTTAATTTCTGGTTTCTATGTTGCTTCATTCTCAAATTAGACACAAAAACATGCTGTTCCTTAACTTTTGGAGGGCAGTGTAATATAAAATTCCAACTTTACACAGCACAATAGAACTTGTTTAAATACACATCCGAAAGGAATCTACTGAAAAGAAAAGCAATTTTAACTACTCTTTTAAGACTGCACCAGTGAAAAAGGTTGTTCAAAATAAGAGTTCATTAATTTTGACCAATACGTTTAAGAAAAACACAACATTCTGCACACTGTTTCAAAAATATTTTGTTTTCTTTAATTAAATTTAAAAATGTATGAACCTTTTTTTAAATAAATGTTTGAACTCCAAAAGCAAAATAGACACAATACACATTAGCAAATTTATATACAGTAAGACAGGGAGATAATGATATTTACCTCAAATAAACTTGCAGTAAGATCTTCTATTTCAGATCCAACTTCATCTCTTATTTTTCTCAATCTAAAAATTTCTTCTTCTCTTAGTTCCAAATCCTATTGCAAAATCATAAAATTCAATTGCATAAGAAATCATATTTTAGGAAATAATAGTAGCATCAGGAATTTTCAGAAATATTTTGCAGTAGAGCTTTATACACTTTACAATAGTAACAACTGCACTAATAAATTTTCATTATTTACCTCATTATCAATCTTAATGTATTTTTTCACACGAGTGTCTCTGTTAAACAAGCTATTAGTATTTTATAAAAATGAATTAAATATACAGTTATCTAACAGATATTGCCTATCCCCTCACCTCTACTGGCATAGCAATTAGTGGTGCACTGAGACCTAGAATTTGAACCCAAAAGAAAGTATGGATATTTGTAAATGCAATAGTGTTTTTGTTGCAGCATAGGAGCATTTAGTACCATCGAGCTCTAAGAGAAGAGAGAGATTGGTGGTAGGGAAAGAGATGTATGAGATTCTTTGGATTCTGCCCTTCATCACAACTGGGTTTGATCTGTGCAATACCAGATTGTCATCTATAAAGACTCATTAGACCTTTAAGCCAACAGCAAATGAATCCATTTTCTTGGCCGTGATCAATTAATGGACTTGATCAAGATCCTTTCAGGTCAGGTAAATAAGCAACCCTAATATATTTCAAAATACACTTACATTCATGTAATGTATTTTGATATTTCATATGCATCCAGGCTATTTAAAAACAAGGAAACCTTTTTGTCATCCAAACTATATGTGTGTTATCAACTATGGTCGTTGCTAACTTTCTAATATTTTTCCCCTCATATCAATATTCATTTTGTCATAATTAATGTTCTTTTTATTTTTAGTTAACTGCTGTGGTGTGTTTAATCTTTTTTTTTTTCCCCTCCATTTGTGCAAGTATCCTCAGCTTTATAAAATTTCGCATTCTCTTTCGTGAAGAATGATCAAAATTAGAATATCCGAGCATGGTATTAAATAATTTAATAACTCGTGTTGTGCCATATACATTTCTTACAGCCTGATTAATATCAGCCAATTGTTCAGTAATGCGTTTTAATCTAGAAGAAAAGAAACTAATACTTTCATTTGGCTTAATTTTACAATTTAAGAACTCTGAAAACAAGGACATATGTCTAGATTGATAATCTGGCTGAAAGAATTCAGCACGTGTATCCCATGCAACTACCGGATCATCTATTTCATATATTAAGTTCCTATATTGAGGGCTTACATACATATAAATCAATGATAATGCCAAACGACTTCTATTTTGATAGTCGGAAACAATTTCTTTTGTCATACCCTTAACATCATTTAAATCAGGACATTTTTCAATACCTTTAACCAAAAGCCATGCATTTTTCTCATTTAAGTCAAACTTCATATCTTTTGACCATGTAAAGTATGCATCAAGTTTAGCAATACTATGCGTAACATTAACAGTAGCCATATTTGAATTTTAACAAAAACTGCCCCCCAGTCTCTTAAGTCCTAAATTAATTTTAAACTTCAAAAGTCTGCACTAAAGATAACTCAGGGACTTGGCCCATAACCAAAATGATGCAAAAGCAAAGTTTACAGTTGTAAAAACATTTAGCAGAATTAACAATAGAAGCTCCCTAAGGTTATATATTGTGCAGACATTGAAGACAAAAGTTTTAAACTTAACCAATTTATTAACAATATATATAAAAATAAAAACACAATGAAAAATTTAATCAATATCAGAAACTTAAAGAGTGTAACATAATCATTATCAAAAATTACACTTAGTTAATCATTCATTAACCCCAAGGGTTTTTCCTTTAAGGAATATTACACTATTAATGATACAGTAAATATTTTACCTAATCTTTAAATACTGGCATTCAGTATGCGAAAAACATATCACAGAACAAAAACTACACGGTTAATATGAATTTCACTTTACTATGATTAAGTCCATGCTTTTTGGCCAAGAACGCACCTGAAAAATTAAACTAAACTTTGAGTGCACTTGCACTGACTAAAGCCACTCACTGTAGTTACACCCGAGAAATCACAGCTTGGAAAAACATCGCCGCTAATCCTGAATAACACTTGTATTTAAAGATGTCGTCTTCATGAAAACAGAATGCCGCCCACGGCAGTTGCTCTCACCGGAAATCACAAGTTGGAATCATTGCCGCCGAAACCCTAGAAACAGGATGCCGCCCACTCACATCGTAGCCTCTTTTGAAACCAGTCACTCACATCGTAGCCTCTTTTGAAAATCCAGAAAAAGTCATCTTTGGAGCAGAATCACGGCACTAATCGCTGGCTGCTATGCATCGCAATATCGTCTTCCAATGGGGGCTGGAACAGCACACCACGGAGCAATGAAACAGAAACCAGAAATAAGCCAGAGCGATGTGAGATACTTATACCCGAAGTAGACATGACGCCATCTCACGGCAACTAATCAGCTATCGGCACGACTCAGCTTTCCAGATGACGTAACATCAAGTTTCGTTTTAGCATCTTAATTAACCTGGAACAGTCCGTTCTTAATACAATTTCTTAATACGAAGTAGAAGTAATTGCTATATCCCTTTAAAATAAGAACTAAACCTTATGTTAAAGTTAGAATTATTTCAAGAAGGAGAGATGATGCAGAAAAAGGGTCACAAAAGGTCATATGTTCCAACAGTATGCTTTACGCATGTACACGTTGAAAGAAATGTTTAATAAAGTAAACAAATTAATATTAAGCCTTTTTTTTTGTAAATTTTGATACCTTTTAGATCATAATTGCTCTTTATTTCATAAATCACGGTTTCATATTTTTAATTTTATAATTTCTGCATGCCATCTTACCAGATTTAAACTGATGATCTATAATCCGGAAAAATCGATAATCCGGAATCGCCAAAATCTCGACGAGTCCGGATTAAAGACTTTTGACTGTATTAAAATTTCGAGAGGAGCAGATGCCTTGCCCGACTTTAGAAGAAGTCAGAATTAATTTAAAACAGGGAAAAGGAAATTTTATAGAACTTGATAATATAATTTTTCATGAGGATAAAGTTAATGGGAGATTCAGTTCAGTAGTTAGTTCTTCCAAAGAGTCGAAGAAAAGATGTTGTTTTTAAAATTTAGCACATGAATCTGTTTTCGGGACTCCACATGGGAATAAAGAAAACAAAAAGAGAGAATCAGATATAATTTCTACTGTCCCAATATGACTAATGATATTATTGAATATTGCCGATCTTGCGAACCATATCAGTTAAGAAGTACTGAAAAAATAACTGATAGAATTCCTATTACTCCAGTTCTAAGACCTTATTTACCATTCGAAGTTGTTAATATCGATATTATAGGTCCTATAGAACATCCTTCGGCTAGAAAACATAAATATGTTTTCTGTTTAATGGATCACATTCACGTTGGCCAGAAGCCATTCCATTACGTTCTTTAACGGCAAAAACTACTTGTGATGCTCTGTTGGAAATATTTACAAGAACTGGTATTCCGAAAATTATAGCAAGTGACCAAGGAACTAACTTTATTTCTCAACTGACACGAGAATTTATGAAGCATCTTGGATGTCATCCTAGATTTTCAGTTCCAGGATATCCAGCTAGTAATGGACTTGTCGAGAGGTACAACCGAGTTTTGGTTTTGAAAAACGCTCTACATCACATCATCCGTATGGATCCATCTAATTGAGATAAGTATCTACCATATTTGCTCTTTGCTTATCACAAGGCTCCCAGTTCTACTACAGGGGTTTCTCGGTTCAAGTATCTGAGAAACAGGCAGCTTATTCGAACTACTTTAATTGTCGAGCTATACCTAAAAAATTCTAAGTACGAGACAAAGTTTATTTGCTTATTCCCGATTCGTCCAATAAACTTTATGCAAGATGGACTGGTTCAGGGGAGATAATAAAGTACTGTCCACCTCATTCATATAAAGTTAAATTCTCAGATGGGAAAGTAAGATATGTTCACGTGAATAAAATCAGAAAGTATATCGCTAGAGTAAATGCTGTGGGAGTTACTTTCGAAATGAAGAAGAATTTGGAGAGATTCATCAAACTCCGCAAGCTCCGTCTCAAGATGTGAAAGTTGTTCTCCGAAAATTGCAACTTGAACATTTAACGGGTGATCAACAGCAGCAAATTGAACAACTCATAAGAAAACACGAATCGTTATTTACAGGTAAAGTAAAAATTGCAAAGGTGGGTTTTCCCAAAATAAAATTAAAACCCAATGAAGAATAAAAAAGCCACATATCTACCGGATTCCGGAAACTTTAAATCCAAAGTTGATGACCAAATTGAAGAGCTATTAGAACTTGACTTAATAGAAGAAAGCAGTGCAGAAATTGCATATCCTATAGTTTGTGTGAACACGAAAGACGGGGGAATTCGATTGTGTGTTGATTATCGTGCATTGAATTCTGTAACAATTACTGATGATTTTCCTATGCAAAGTGCTTCAGAACTTATACATTCAATAGGACTAGCTAATATAATATCAACACTGGATTTACTATAAGGTTATTGAGCTGTTCCTATGGATCCTGAAAGTCGTGATTACACTTCGTTTAAAACCCATCGACAACAGTACAGATTTAAAGTTATGAGTTTTGGTCTGAAAAATGCTGAAGCAAGATTTCAAAGGGAAATCAATAAAGCACTCCATGAATACAAAGACTTTGCCAGAGCATATATTGATGACATCACAATATTTTCAAAGGACTGGAAATCTCATATGATTCATTTAGATATGATACTCACTAAGTTGGAAGAACTTCGTTTTACAGTCAATATCAGCAAATGTGATTTTGCCAAACTGCAAATCAAACATTTGGGTCATTTAATTGGATCTGGAAAACATCAAGCCGATCCTGAGAAGATAGAAGCAATTTCCAAATTATCAAAACCGAAGACCAAGAAGCAACTCAGAAGTTTATTAGGCCTATGTAACTATTATAGAGACTATATTCCAAAATATTCTGAATTAGTAAATCCATTTACTGAACTTACAAAGAAGAAGGTACCTGAGGAAATACTATGGAAAGAAGAGCACGACATTGCTTTCGAGGATCTCAAGAATGTTCTGATTAAAGCTCCAATCGTTGTATACACCAATTTTGGGGCAACCATTCATTATACATTGTGATGCCTCACAAATAGGAGTTGCAGCATGTCTGTCACAAAATTTCAATGAACGCAATTATCCCATAGCCTATGAAAGTCAGAAGTTAACTCGGGCTCAGCAATCGTGGTCTACTATTGAAAGAGAAGCATATGCCATTGTGTGGAGTTTGAAAAAATTTGAAACCTGGATTTTTGGATCCAAAGTTGAACTTTACATCGACCATAATCCTTTACCCTACCTGACAAAATGTGCACCGCAATCATCTAGATTACAAAGTTGGGCTTTTGCTTTACAAGAATAAACGTTGGGCTTTTGCTTTACAAAAATACGAAATAGACATGAAGTATCTACCAGGAGTCAAAATGGGTAATGCAGATGCTTTATCCAGACTGATAGAAGGAAGAATATCATTTTTATTTATTTCTTTTTATGGACCAAAAACATTTATGGACAATTCATAAAAACTTTAATTTGGTGGTTAGATCAATTGTTAACTTTCTTATTTTCTTTAAAGCTTATTGCAAGATATATCTATTAAGTAATATTTGTAAAGTTATCGAAATGAGTTACAGCAAGTAGATGATTTAAGAGTAGCATTCTTAACCATTTGGAAGTTTTTCTTTAAAATGTATACTTGTAAGAGTTAACTCTTTTGTTATGCAAATGTTGTAATATTTTATATTTTCTGTTAGTTGATTAGTAGCTATAATGTTGAATTGCGAGCACCAGGCTTTGTTATCAGAATGTGTTTGGACATCCTGCCCAACCACAATCTTAGGGGGAAGGTGTAGTGCCTGGTCCTTCGAAACTATAACCCTGAAAATAAGTAGCGCCCTCGAGGCGGAAAAGAAGTAAGTTGGAGACTGGCTTTCGGTGGGAGAGGCTGAATGCTCAGTAGGCTCAGTGTGGTAACTTTCTAAATTTAACAATCCTATTATCTTATATATTTCTGTTTGTACAAAGTGTATATAGTTTACATAGATGGTGTGAATAAATTAAAAGATAAATCTGAGTCTATTAATTACGGCACCAGACACGGCTGGATCTTACAACCATCTTTTGTTTTTATCAACAAGGATATAAATTAACTGTTACTGCTGTACTTTTTCCTTGCATTTAAAAAAAATTAGTTCAAACATTGTAAAATCACACTTGTGACTGCATTCTGCTTCGTTTACAGCTGCGAAAGAGAATTAACATCTGCTGAATGGGGAAAAGAATAGCCGGACATAGATTGGAACAATCACCTGCAGGAAATTTGCACTCATAACATTCTAGACAGAGTCTCTGGTAAAATTAGAAGGGCTAACAAAATAGAAGAAATTGAAAAAAGCTTTTGTTACTTACATATTGGTCCAAACCCTTTAGAAATTTCGGAAATTTTCAGAATACACCACACTCTAATAACCCCGCACTTAACAATTTTAGAAAGTAATACACCCATTTTCTACATTTTTTGGGGGGGTGTATTCCAAGTGCAACACTTTTTAAAGGTAAATCATGGCAGTTTTTATCTTAAATCAGTTTTAAAATATTTGCCTGCAATGGAAGAAAATGTTCTTGCAGAAGCACAACTGGCACAATACAGCTTGAAAAAGCAGCTCCTTCAAATAAATTCTTAAAAAATAGCCACAAAATTTCCAAATAAACATAAAAGAACCCCATGCAAAAATAATTTTATTAAGAGATTTGGTCCTAAATACACACTTTTGATTCATGCAAAAGGAGAATATTTTCTATATACATGCAGGGTGTCTATAATTAAAAACCCTACTTCAAAGCTACTTACAAACAAAACCAGTGATCTGAAAATTGTGAAATTTTGTGGTGGACTTAATGAAAGGATGAAAATTTCGTTCAGTGAAAAAAAAAAATTACTTACAAATAGCATCACCAGAGGGCATTATATTAATAAATGATACATTCAGGCACACCTTTAACTCCTTCACATCCAATCCGCCCGACACAGCCCTACATTGAAACAACCAGAACCGCCCGAAAACGGCCTAGATTGTAATCTTCTTTTCTTCCCTCCCCCTAAGGTATGCACTAGCAGGTGCACTTTCCCCAAATGCACTGTATCAGTTTACTGCAGACAGCTTGTCCTAAGAGGTTTTTTTTATCTTTTGTTTGATCGTGACATTTCGTTGTTGATTCTTTTGTGGTACAGTGTGCTTTTAAGCTTTAAACAGCAATAAAAGAGCAGTTTAAAAATTTAAGGATTATATTTATTTATTTTTTAAACAATTTATTCCTTCCTATAAAAATAATGGAAATAAACAAAATCTTAGTAGTGATCATAACAAAGTCGGAAAGGCTTGTTGATCTGACCTTCAGAATAGTTTTATAAAGAACGGGGTCAAAGGCTAATGGAATCTTTGTTAGAAAGTACAAAGGATGTCATTGGAAATCTTCATACCTATTTTCTGCGTTAATGGACGGGGAGGGGAGAAAATTGCTGTGAAACTGGAAAGGTATTTCAGGCGGTTCTGGTATTTTGAGGATACAGCTTAGCGAAGGGTCTGTATTTCAAAGAGTTAAAATAATTTTATAATTTTAAAATCTTTGTTAGAAAAAAAAAACATGTTTCACATAATGGCGATTATTTTCAGCTACCATCTGAAGCCGCAAGATCGCAATGGCGATTATTTTCAGCTACCATCTGAAGACCATCTTGCGGACCAGAGTTGACCAAAGTGCTTGCTTGGAAATGTTCAGCAAATGGCATGAAATGCTGGCTTTAGGATCAAATTAATTTCTTGGATTTTCATGACTTACCCGATGTTTCAAATGTCCCCAAAATGAAAAAATCGTATGGATTGAGGTCTGGGGATCGGGGGAGGCCACACATTAAGAAGTGCCGGCTAACGACACATTCTTCTGTAAAATGACATTTAAGAACATTCATAATACACCGTGCAATGTGTGGAGGAGCTCCATCTTGAGCAAAGATTTTGCAAGGCAATGGCATGTTTGCAGAATTTCATTCTCTAATAGCGATGCATATCGCTGCCCCATGATGGAGCAAGTTACTGGACATGTGGAACTTAGTTCCTCGAAGAAGTATGGGCCAAGAATAAATGACACAGAAAATCCACAGCATGCCGTCACTTTTGGTGAATACAATGTAACCTCTACGACAGGGTGCCTGGTTCTAAATTCGGCAACCGTCCAAATGATAATGTTCTTATTCTGTTCAGGATATTCCAAGGCCATTCTGAATAGACCTCAAAGCGAGCAAGAAACTGAAGTAAGAAGCGGAGTTAAGTGTTAAAATCATGTGGAAGCAACAGATGCACTAGTGAAAGTTTGTAAGGATAAAATCGGAGGGCATTCCACAAGATCTTTTGGGCTGTTAAATGTGGTCTTTCCAGCACCTCTGCTATACACCAGATACTGGTCCTAGCCTGAAAGTTTCAAGCTGTGTCCTCTACGACCTGACCTCCTGTACTGCTTCTGCAGAAATAGGTTTTCTTCCTCTTTCAGGGGAAACAGAAAACAATCCTCTTTGTTCAAATTTCCTTTTTATTTTCTGAATGTTTTTAACATTCATTAGCTCTCTCAGAATCCTCTCCAAATTCCGAAATTCCCGTAGAGCAGCTACTGGGGAATTAACTGTTTTGGTAAAATAATTTACTAACAAAGCGTAATCTCGTAAACTTATCATCACTGTGAGCAACAAGCACATTGAAAACGAAGTCTTCGAGAATGTTTCTGAATTTTATAATAGCTGCTGCGTGACGTCAACAAAGACTTAAATTTCTAGTAAAGATTTTTCAGAGTAAAATGCCCTCTGGTGACGTTATTTGTACCTATCTCCTTTCCCCGAATGAAATTCTCATCCCTTAAGTCCACCACAAAATTTCACAATTTTCTGATGACTCTTTTCATTTGTAGGTAGGTAGCTTTATATTAGTGTTCTTTAATTAAAGACACCCTGTATATAAACTGGTAGTTCGGTCCGAGGTTCGAATCCCGCGAACGGGCTGGCTGCATGGGTGTTTTCGTGGTTTTCCCCATGTGTAACGTGTATACGAGCCAGTTTCCCTTAGAAAGTCCTCCACGAAGGCATCCCTCCCCTTAGGCAGATAGCCCTAGTGTGCTTTGCCGTAATTAAATACACCACCCTGTATATAATATAGCCTATTTTCAAATTCATAAACTAAAAAATAATGTTATGAATAATACACACATGTGAAGACTTCTCAGAAAAATGTTTCAAGATTTTTAATTTCAAATTCTTAGTTACCACAATCAAACAATAAGAAATATGACAATTCACCTTTTCAGCTTTCTCTAATTTAGACTGCAGGCGTTCAATGGTGGACTGTCGCATTTCAGACACTGAACAGCTACGAGCCTGTCTTGTATCCAACACTTTAATCATATTATAGTCTGATGGGCTTCAGAAATAAAAATTTTATCCAATTATTAAATGAACTATAATATTTTAAATATTTAATTATGAAATAAACTGTCAAGTAATAAACTAAGAACATGCAGATTTGTAGCCCACCATCATCAAGAGAAAAATGAAGGCAGCTTCAAATATTCATATTTAATTAAAAGATATTGGGGGAGAAATACTATGGTTACCACTTAACATTTTAAATGGTAACCATAGCATTTCCCCCCAATATAATAAATATTTGTTTATATGGTTAACTAAGGACAATGTCATTCAAACCACAGCTAGGAAAAGAGGACTGAGAAGAGAATGCATGTGATTGATCTTGGAGGTTTTAAAAAGATGTCAAAGAGAAAATAAATTTGAAATATTTCAGCAACATAAAGATTAATATTATATTACATATTCATTTAAGTTTCCTCACATCAAATTAGCTAACTTTTAAGAAACAAAAGCACATTCAACAAATGTTACAATCAATAATTTACTTACATGAGCCTATATATCCATTATAATACACTTAGAGCTGATATATCGATTTGGGATCTTTTTGTGTGTATGTATAACTACAAGCAGGGTTGTCACTCAAACAGGAGAATGAAAGTCCCTGACCTTCCCAGGTTTTCATGGTGTGTTTTAAAAAAATTCCAGTCTATCCGCGTAGTGCACGTTGAGTGTGCTGAGAGGTAAATTAATTATGGTACCAATTGAAAACACAAAAATTTGCCAATTACATATAACTTATATATATATATATATGTAAGGTATAAGAAAATATGATAGCTGCTTTAAAAATAATTGGCAACCTCAAAATTAATGATTGTAGATTTGGTGCTCTCCCCCTAAATGCATTGATTCTCACAAATTCAAGATCCTTCTATGTTATGTAACAACCTAAGATTAACCAATCTTAGCTTAGAGTATTTTCTGCATGTACTTAGTATAAATACGCTGATGAATTATTTACGTGATTCTTTTCCTAGCTTTGCCACAGCTAATACATCTCTGCTGCTTCAATTCTTAAATGCCAATGTCATTTCTTTAAAAAAACAATGTACATAGAAATTTATCATATTTAATTATGAATGAATAATTGTCTGCCAAATTGATTGGATATGTGTGAAAATAAAGACTGGTGATTTATTAAAATCCAGTTTGTTACCTTTGTCTGTATGCCTTAAACCATAAGCCATGACTGCTACCGAAAACTGTTAAGAATTCCAGTGTTTCCTTCTACGCATTAAATCATTACATATATTAGGAGCTGTTTTCTCCACTGAAGCTTGAGATTAGAATCTGCCCAATCTGGATTAAAAAAATGTCTCTTTTTGCAGACATTTTGCAGCTACACGAAAGAATGATATTTTAATCCAATATCAATATTATATATGATTTAACCTAACTAATGTCAATATATAATGTCAATATAATATATGATTTAACCTAATATCAATATTATGATTTAATGATACTTTAAAATAAATTCAGGTATTTTATATTTATTTAGCAGCAGAGATAAGCAAAAAATATGTGAATAAAATTCTGTGATGGTCATTACAACTAGAATTAGTTTCAAAAGTATACCAGAGAAAATTGCTTGAAATCTGAAAGAATTATCAACTATTTATAAATAAATTTAGAAGGAACAAGCCTCATTAAATGATACAAATAAATTTAAAATAAACTTAATTACTTAAAGACTAAAAACTGAATTACAATAATCAACGGTATTATATTAAATAGTTTAGCTTAAATGACTGGTTACTTTTTTTTATTTTACAGCAAAATGACAAATAAGATATTTATTTTTAAAAAAATGTTTAAAAGATTTTGCGGTAAAATCCCAGTATACGGTACAGCTTTCACACAATTTTGAAAATTGTTGCCAACACCAAAATGACCCATTTACTGCTCATCATAATGCTGCCAAATCTCGTGTGTACTGTACACATGACTAAAACCGATATTGCTTTGTATGAGAATGAGAAGGTATTTTCTTTCATTCAAAATGCACTGCACATGCAAATCTCTTGATTCTCAAGGTTACTGGAAACCAAAAGTTGCTAGAAACTTACTTTGCCTTTCTAAAAAACAATCTGATTGAAGCTACGAAAATTGGCTCTATGCCCAGCTGCCCAAATGACCCTTACGCGATACATAATTCGGCAAGAAAGCGATCGCTTCCAATGTTGGCACAAAAATAGCTTTTTTGGGGGAAAGCCGTATGAAATTCGACTTTATGAATTTTCTTCATTTTCTTAACTACCAATGTGTATTTATTAATAAACATAATGTTTAATTATCAATAAAATAAATTAAGTTATAAAGTTTATAATTTTATTTTATTTTTTGATAGTTCATTCCATTTGTTTATACAGTGCAAAGTCTGAAATCTGGACTCGTCTGGACTTCCGCAATTCCAGATTTGGGATTTTTCCAGATATTAGATCATTAGCTTAAATTTAGTAAGATGGCATGTAGAAATAATAAAATTAAAAATATGAAATTGTGATTTATGAAACAATGAAGCATTTATGATCTAAACGGTATCAAAATTTAGGAAAAAAAACTTAATACATATTTGTTTACTTTATTAAACATTTCAAAGTTGTTTAAGTTGCTTCGTTTTTTGTGCTAATACTTTCTCTTTAATTCTATAAACAGACATAATTCCTTCAGTTACAAAGTTCCACTGTTCAAGTCTTGTAATTGCTGTGTCTAAAATTCCAAATGACTTGTCAATTGAAAGTTTTCTTCTTTCAGTAACCTCTCTGTTACTTTCTTCACTATCAGTGGTGGTATTTTCTGGATCTAGAACCATACTAGAGTTTTCACCGTCCGTTAATTGATTGATGATTGGGGAGCATTGTCATCACAATAAAAAATTTCTTTTATATCATCTTCATTTATTACCACTTCTCCACATTTCTTTACAAAATTTGTTAATTAGAAAATTTCACCTTTGGTTTGCAATATCCGAAAAACCTTCAGATTCGTGGCTATCATCATAAAATTTAGCTATCATTCACTACACATATTTGGCTATGTATCATGAGATTGGTGGCTAAAGACAAGTTGTTCTGCTAAATTTTATCTTGCTTCTATTGCACACTGAGACAATTAAGTCTAATTGTATTAATTATATTATTATACTTACGCCTATTCCTTGCACATGTGTAAGGCTTATCTGAGTCCTGAATAAATTTCCTCATATAATTAAGGCTTTCTGCGGGTCCTAAATTCTTGCTACTTAGCGCCTCCATTTGTCTTCCCTAAATTCTGCTGCTCGGTGCTGCCATACAACCTCTAGCACCGGTTCTGGGTTTATGTGTATAACAAGTCAGTTATACTTAATTTAAATACCACTAAATGTAATCTTTTGGCCTATAAGTATCATTGACAAAACTTATTTTTAGTATATGTAAAGATATTGTTAAATTTTTCTAGTCAACATTTCTTAGCGGATTAAACTTAAATCTTTAATCATCGCGAAGCATAATGTCAACATGAAAGGTTACTATACTCTTTGTTATTCAGTTACTAATATAAAAAAATTGTTTAGGTGTCGCTACATGAATTGTTATGCGTTGATAAACATGCGGTGATGAAAGCAACATATAATAAATAATGATTCGCCAGGTTCGCGTCAGGGATATTAAATATTAGTAGGTGTAAAATCAACAATGTATCTATGTAGAATGTTTCGGTTTGAGATGTATGGCCAGGCAGATATGCAGCTATGGAGCCAAATTATTGATCATACAAATTTATGCTAAAATGATTGTTTCTTAAATAACGAAGGGTTTTATTTACTAATGGAGACTCTCCACATGAGCAGGGGGGAAATCAAATGTGCATGCGTAAAGCACAGACAAAAAAATTAATAAATAAAAAAAAGTTGGTGCTGACTTTGAGATATGGATTTTAGGTCATTCCGGATATTGGATGTCCGGATCTCGGACTTTGTACTTTAACATAAATAAAAGGAGTTATTTATTGATAATGCAAATTTACCATACTTTTTAAAAACCTATGAATACTCCAAACATTCAATAGGTCACATATTTTAACGCATTTTTTTTTACAGATTTTGTTTAAGCTGGAATTGGCTATAAAAAGGAAGTATGATGAAAACTGCGTCATTTCATTCTACATGCATTAATAATAAAAGTGATGAGACTTGGAAGTCGCAATAGTGTATTTTCTTCTTTTCTTTCAGTAAAGCTATTGTCAAAGAATGTAAGAATGCAACAAATATGAAAGAAAACTTCATACCTATAATTGTGAAGAGCTATCTAAAGATGTGGACAGTTCAGAAAATTGGATTTACCATTTCATAAAAGCCACACAAGCATCCTATAAAACTTTATATCAGACTGACAAACAAAAGATCCCCCAGCCATCAGAGAGAATTTAGTAAAACCTTGTGTTCTCTAAATGATCAAATGAATTTGTAGACAGGAGCACCAAAAACAAATGGAAGCATTTCTCTTATTAATTGATGCATAGCTGCCAACTCTCCTGGTTTTGCTGGGAAACTACAATTTTTTTAACACAATCTCCTAGAAGAACACTGAATCTCCTTGTTTATCTTTTATTTTGATCCTGGAAAATGCTTCCCAGCAATAAATTAAATTTACTGACGTAATGAAACATAAATTATGTAAATTCTATTTCCTAATCCCTAATAATTTTAAGCATTTTTCTTATTAAATTTTTAAATATTTACACATTAACACAATCATTTTGGTGCAATTGGGCCATTTTTGCAAATGAAAAAGTAAAAGTTATTTATCAGGTGCAAGCTGCCAATTTTCGCAACATTTTTTAAAAGCATTCCCAAACTATCAATATTTATTGCCAGTAAACATTATTAATATCTCAAAAGAAAGCACACTTTAGAAATTTAAAATACAAAGTTTGATTATGAAGTAAGGATTATATGACATGAGGCATTTTCAAAAGGTAAAAAGCTATAAGACCCCAAGCTCATTCAAAAATCTTTAATAAAACATCCATTACAAACTACTAACTGATACATGCCTTATTTTTTTTACATAGTTGCTGTCATAGTCCAAACTTTCATTAAGCCTTGATATTACATACTCAGAGAAGTAGTACCTGTAGCCGAAACCTGTAGTCGAAAAAACATTTGAACCTGAAATTTTATCTCATCGAGGAAGTATGGTCCGGCAAACTTCCTCGATGAAATGTTTTTTTCAGGTAAAGGAATAAATGGAAGTTGCTGGGTGCAAGGTCCGGGATGTATGATAGATAGCCTAAATTTTCAACTTGATACTTTTCAGTGCTTCAGCTTGTGCATGGAAATGAGCATTGTCACAAAGGAAGCAGACTCCACTCTTAAACATGTCCCTATATTTGTTTTATGTTTCCCATCCAACAAAGTTCAGCATATGTATCAGCATTAATTGTGTGCCAGGAGGCATGAACCCTACAAGAAGAAAGCCTTGTCTGTCCCTGAAAATAGAAGTCATGAATTTGTGTTCAAATTGAAATTTTCAATTTCTTGGCTTTGGGGGAATTAGTATGATGCCATCACATTAACTGTCGCTTGGATTCTGATGTGTGATGGTAAACCCAAATTTCATTACCAGTAACAGCAGTGTCTTAATCTGAAAGCCTACTCATTTGATTAAAATCAGCTGTAGAGTACAAAGACCATAATCCGAACATCCATTATCCCAAATGATCTATAATCTGAACCTCAAAGCCACAAACTTTTTTTGTATGCTTTACGCATGCGCATAGGGAGGCTGTGTCTCCAGATATGTTAAAAAATGCTTGGCATAATTTATGACCAGCTACCATGTTTCATGGTGAGGACAATGAAGATGACAGCCACGAATTTGAAAGTTTTCGGACATCGCAAACTAAAGGTGAAATTTTCCAGTTATTTGATTTTGTAAAGAAATGTGGAGAAGTGGTAATAAATGAAGATGACATAACAGAAGTTTTTCATTGTGACGACAATGCCCCAATCGTCAATCAATTAACGGACGATAAATTCTGTAGTATGATTCTAGATCCAGAAAATACTGCTTCCGATATTGAAGAAAGTGACAGAGAGGTTATTGAAAACAAAAAAATTTCAATTCACTAGTCGGTATTCTCCACACAACAATTACAGGACTTGAACAGTGGAACTTTGTAACTGAACAAGAAATTATATCTGTTTATAGAATTAAAAAGGAAGCAAATTAAACAACTTACAATTGAAAGAAATGTTTAATAAAGTAAACAAATAAATATTAAGCTTTTTTTTGTAAATTTTGATACCCTTTAGATCATAATTCCTCTTTATTTCATAAATTATGGTTTCATATTTTTAATTGTATAATTTCTGCATGCCATCTTACCAGATTTAAATTGATGATCTATAATTCGGAAAAACCCTTAATCTGGAATCGCCAAAGTCCAGACGAGTTCGGATTACGAATATATAATAAATGGCCAATCAATTTTTATTCTGTGGCCCAACGGGACTGTAAGTCAGCTTTATTGTGTGACCTCTCATGATCTCAGTAAAAGTTAATGTGGTAAGAAATATTGAATATTTCTGATTATCTGCACCTCTTTAAAAGGTACTAATGAGGCAACATGTCATCAAAATAGGCAAGCCATGATATCACAAAATGCAGTGCTGCTCATTAGTGTTTGTTTTTGTTGCACTAATGAAGGTCATTAGTGTTTGTTTTTGCTGCACTGATGATAGTCATTAGTGTCTGTTCTTGTTGCATTAGATGTATTTTTTTCCCTTAGCAATGAATATCATGAGACAGTGGAATTTGCCAGTTGATGACAAAGAAAGTGCTGGGTTTCTTTGAAATACGGCATTTTGCTTAACAGCAGTGGAGAATGCATGAAGTTGTTCTTCGTAAACAATTAAATATATCAGCACTAATGACTATATATATATATACAATTAACACTACAGACACCTCTTGTATTTTTAATTTTGTTAAATGGCTGCTGTTTTATGTAATTCTTAGTGTGCTGCCATTTTTTAATGTGGCTGTTATCTTCTGCATCTTGATGGAAAATTAGTCTCGCAACTTTTCCGGAAGGGATACAGAGATAATCAGATAATATCAAATACTATAGTTTAGCCCAAATGTATTTTAATGTTAGTTGCCAAAACAACTTTTCCAAGTAATCACAAAAAGGCACAAAAAGAAATTTATTATTTTTTGTAAGTATATAAAGTCTAGCAGATGCCTCTACATTACTATTTATTTGCTTTCTGTAAAGTAGAACAATCACAGCTAGCTCACCCTTACTAAAAGTTCATGACTTTTCTCATACCCTTCTCTAAATTAAATCATATCGCATGATAGTCAATGAGCATTTCAAAATAAATTAATCACAATTTGGCTTCAAAGTTCAATACCACCAGAAAAATAAACACAGCAATAGATTTCATTTACACACTTTCACAACTATAACATGTGAGTGACTATTTGTTTGAAAGTACGATACTGACAGATAATCATGATTTTAATTCTTAATACACATGCATTAAGTGTTATTCACCAAATGGGCATATCTGCTTCCTAAATACTTTCAGTTTGGTTATTAAAACTGAATTGCAATATTTAATTCAGCAAATTATAAAATTATTATATGAATAATATATATATTATTATGAATCATATATATATTATTGAATGATATTATGAATCATATATATATTATTATGAATAAATATTAATTCAGCAATTTATTGTCACTTAGTAACTAATATGCTACTGCTTTCAGCAGTGAACCAGTTCTTATTTAACCCTACATGCACTGAATATTACAGAGATCATGTAAACTGCTTTGTATTACAAAACTTATAAACATAATATTCATAAAATATAATAATATATGACAACATGGTCAAACAAACAAAATTTATGACTTCATCATAAAACACACTATTCTAGGCAAGTACCTGTCTAAAACAATAAGCAGGAATGCGAGAAAATTTATAAAAATAAATACGGCTTAAATGTATAAAACTTAATTCAAAGTAAACTTGCACAACATCACCAGAATCCTAAAGTTTTATTCAGATTCAAGATAAAAAATTTTTTAATTTAAAAAATATTTCTAAATTTTGGGTAAACTGTTGAGTTAAAAGGAAAGATTACAATGGAAATGAAAGTATAAAATCATTGAACTTGACAGATGATAATTATACAAGTTTGTAAAATCAATAAGTTTTCGTTCCGGGAATTTCAAATTTTATTAACAGCCCGACATATATGTAGCAAAACATACTATTCAGATACACAACTAGAGGAATTTTTATAAATATAATGTTCATAAAAACACTTGTTACCTTGAGTATGATTCAGAGTCAGAACTTATGTCAACATCTGAAATTGCCATTTTTCTTTCAATTTCTGTGATCTTCTCTTCTATTTTGGCACGCATTGTAGAGGCTCGCATAACATATTCTGATGAATTAAGAACCTTCATTTCATTTGAATAATCTTGTAAATCTGGTTTAATATTTGTTGAGGACTGTGAATTTAGCACATATTTCATTTTATCATCCAAAACTTTTGTTTTATCCTCAGAAAATTCAACATTTTTAGTTTCATAAATGTTAACATCTTGATCTTGAACATCTGCAGCAGAATGTAATTCATTATTCAAAATTTTAATTCCATCAGAATGTAACTGGATATTACTGCCTTCATCTAATTCTACAGTAGTATTTGAATGAAAATTGTTAATTCTTCCTTCAGCATAATTCAGGTTATTTTCAACAGCAGCATTCTGCATGTTTTGCATATTCAGCTACCAAATAAAAATGAAACATTATGAATTTTAAGCAATTTATAATACAGATTAAATCATATTTCTAAACTTATTTTATACAATAAACAATAACAGTAAGCTTCTAATGCAATTAATATGTATAATAGTGCATATTAAAATAAATCATAGCCCAGAATGGAAATGAAGTGAAAAAACATAATATCTGGTTGTAATGAAAGTTTTCCACCAAAAAACGTTCTTAATAAAGTTAGGGAAAAAACATGAAAGCAGTAGCATTAGTATGCACAGTAATCACCACCCAAGGCTATTATTTTCTGCCAATGTTTTGGAAATTTTCAAAGCCTTCGGGTCCAGAAACTTGGTGATCGCGAGTTGAGAAACAGATCAGTCTCATTTCAGACATCCTGTGCAGAATGCAAGATATAGATGCAGGTGTGAAAAAAGAAATCCGAAGGAGTGATCTCAGGGCTATATGGTGTGTATGGCAAAAGATCCCATTCGAGTCCATATAGAGTTCAGCCAGTGGATGCAGACACACGTGGGCTTGCATCATCCTGATGGAATAATGGCTTTTTGCACCGGATCTCAATTTGACACTTTTATTTGATGCTAGTCTGTAGTCAACACAGACTAGCATCTCGCTGCACACCTTACTGTCAAGGGTTTTTTTACCTTTTCCCAGCTAATCTTTGTGGATAATACCATAGCAATCCCACCAGATATAAAGCATGATCTTTTTGGTAGTCAAATTGCGCTTTATGACACTGCCGACGGGCTCACCGGTGCAGACCAACCCCCTCTCCAGCATGTGTTGTTGAAGTAAATCCACTTTTCATCAGAAGTGATGATCTGGAATTTTGTTCTTTGATATTCAAGCAGATTAATACAGGCCCAAACACATATGTCCTTATCTGCCTGAGTCAGCTCATGCGGCACCTAGACACTGAAATTCTATATCAAGTTTATGCGATGCATAGCGCAGTTAACGGACATGGCACTAACGTCTAACTCCTTAGCAAACTCTCGAGTGGTTGCATACTGATCTTCTTCCACAAGTTCTCGCAGGCAGGCCTCATCAACATCAGTAGAACGGCCAAAGTGCTCTTGAATTCACAGTCTCTGTTTTTTAACTTTCGGTACCATACCTTCACAGTGTCATATGATACAACATTAGTACCTAAAGTTGTACACCTGATTTGGCGACATTCTATAGCTGAATTTTTGCAGCAGAACTGGAAGGAAATGATGGTTCTAATCCGGTAGTATGATACTTCCATTTCAGATACCTATTATTTAATGATAACGATAATTTTTTACAAATTTTACATAACTGTGTTCTAAAGCAAGTCTCTTTCTTTCAATGCCAAAATTCCTTTTGACAAAATATGATTAAAGATGTCAACGCAAACTGTTTGTGCAGACGATATTTATGGTGGTGGGAAACTTTCATTTAAAAGACTCTTTCAGAACAATGGTTTACAAGGACATTCATACAGACTCATGAAAATTAGGACAATATACACCCATCTAAGCGAGAGAGAAACACAGCAGTGTTAAGTTTAAAATTAGGGGCAGGAAAAACTTAATATTGGCATAGATTTTAAACAAAGCTCCCAGTTTCAAGGACAATTAGCCATATAACCCTCTTTTTTGGGGAGCAAACTAGCATACATTTTTTGCTTAAGGAGAGGGGGCTTATGCCCAACTGCTCTGGAAAAAGATAGTTTTATTCAAAATATATACCAATCCAAAACTGCCGTTTTTGCTTAATTTTAACAGAAAACTACTAAAAAAACACAAAGGTTAAGTAGATTTATAAATTCCTGCATATAAACACTAGTATCAAAAAACATATTAAATACAGTAATAACATAGAACTGCAAATAAAGATATTTTTACGAAATGTTCAGCCAGGGTAGGATAGCTTCCCCAAAGCAGGTTTAGGGTTACCAAAAAATGGTAAGGGAAGGCAGGGTTGCCATATCTGGCCAGAATCTTGGCGACGAAATTGGCAATATGCCATAGACTGATGGAGGACCTTCTGGAATGAATTCTTACCAGTTAGGCCCAGAATGTTCTTGAACGCAAGCCAAAAGCTAGATAAACCTTGCTGGTACACAGTCAGTGCCTAGTCAATTCATTTAAAGGTCAGTGAGCGAGTGTCTCGTAATTTAGTGCCAAGTTGGTCACTGAGTGCATCAGGAGAGTCTCTTAGTGTATCATGAGTTAGTGCATTGTTGAGTTTTATCTTTGAGCGAGTTGAGCTCCGAGAATAACAGAACCGAGTCAGGAGCTGTACTCTAATGTATTGTGGAGTACATCGCGAGTTGTAATGTAAAGAGTACATAGAATTTTGAGAACGACTGAGCAGAGTTGGGAGCTGTACTCTGGTGCTTTGACGTGAAGCTGTCTTCACCCTTATAGCCTGAAGGCTGTATTGCTGATTGTTTCAGCGTGTTTATGCAATTCTTCGATGACTGCAAATATGATTTTGGAGCTGTCCTGAGTAATACTGGCAAATAAGTTGTGTTCCGATACTTCACAAAGTGTTGTTATTCACTCCAAATCCACAAACGCATACATAAAGACAAACGTAACAATATAACGCTTTCATAGGTAACAGAATGAATAAATAAAGCAACATTCCTTAGTTTATAACAGAGAAGATAAATAAAACATGAAAGAATGTGTTTTTCTGCTAATAATTAATTATTTTTAATACTTTTTAAGCTTCATGACTATTTTCTAATGTTTTGTCTTTTAAAACAAATATCTGAAAAAATTTCTGAGCATTAAGTTTACTTCACTTAGTTGTAATTTCACTTACATGTATATAACAGGATATTTAATACTAACTAAAGATATATTTTAGTATATGTGTACTGATTGATAAATTTTCTTCAAAGATTTAAAATGCACATCTTTATTCTTTTTAAAAGACGCTTTTCATTAAATTTAGGGTTCTAATTCAAAGTATAATAACATAAATGAATTTATATGCATATAAAATCTTTCAACAAATACTAAATGATCTTAATAAATAACATGAATACAAATTTCAAATCATAGAATTTTTCAATCATAGAATTCATTTTCAATCATAGAATAATTATTTGTTACGAGACATATACGTTTACCTAACATAGTGGCTGTTGGATGTATATTTAATATTTGCATTTCTTTTTTTCTTAGCCTTTGTCTTATTTATTTTCTCACTGTTTAATTTTATGTTGTGATTTACAATCATCTTGTTACTGGCAATATGCTTTATTTTACTATTGAGTTTGTGTGAATGGCAAAAGTTGTTCATGTTTATGTTTCACTAGAATATCATTGTTAGCCACACTGTGCTGCAGGCAAATTTTCTCTTAAATATTTCATGTTTAAGAACATCAATAAAGTTACAATTTAATATTTGCCTTGAACTAAAAAACATCAGCTATCAATAAAGCTGATGCTTTTTAGTTCAAGGCAAATATTTGGTTCCCCAGGTGAGTCATTTAATGATATCCAATATGTTGTAATTATATGCTTTAGAACTGTATTTCAGGAACTTTTAAGTACTAGTACTGCAAATCATCTGCAAGACATTAGAAAGATAAGCGGAAATATATTTTGCTGTTTAAGTATCTTGTTGAAGTTATTCGTGCTTATTAATGGTAATGACAGAATTAAGTGAAGCTGATCTTAAAAGATTAAGAGGACGAACGAAATCTAACGCGGCTTCACAATAGTTTCAGTAATCAATTAAGTTTAACAGAATTAAAAGCACAATTAGAATGAATTAAACAAATAGTTAAGGAATTTGATCAATATGACATCTTATTGAAGTTATTTGTGCTTATTAATCATTATTCATGGTAATAATGACAGAATTAAATGAAGCTGATCTTAAAAGATTAAGAGGACGAATGAAATCTACCCTAACAAGGCTTCACAATAGTTTCAGTAATCAGTTAAGTTTAACGGAATTAAAAGCGTGATTAGAAAGAATTGAACAAATATTTAAGGAATTTGATCAATATGATACCACTTTACCCGAAGAAGCTTCTGAAATTGCTGAATTCAAAGCTAAATATTTTGAAACGAAAGTAATATATCAATCCGCCATTGAATCGTTAACGGTCAGAAATGTTTTGATTTCAAATCCCACTGCAGTTGAGGCTAGCTTTAAACTTCCTCATTTGAACATTTCGAGTTTCAATGGTAACTATACTGATTGGCTTAATTTTAAAGATCTGTACATGACGACAGTTCATACCAGTCAGTCATTAGCAAAAATTCAGAAATTCCAATATTTGATAGGACTTTTAACAAACGAACCAGCTGCTATTATTAAGCACATTCCCATTTCCGAAACTACATATGATGAGGCTTGGGACAAACTGATGAATCGTTATGATAGAAAAAAATCAAATTGTCATGTCGCTAGTCAGAACATTTCTTGAGCAACCCAAAATTACTAGCGCTGATTCTGTTAATCTAAGAAAACTATCTGATGAAGTTATCTGTGGATTAAAATCTCTTTGCAAAAAGGCTTCGTCTAGAAATGTTTGACTAATTTATTTTTTGTTAGAAAAGGTCGATCCGGAAATGCCCCATTTATGGTCACTAAAAAATGGTGAAGAAGAATTTCCCATCTTAGCATGTTTTTTGGAATTCTTAAACTCAAGATGCGTTTCACTCTAAATGTTAAACACTCATAATACTGAAAAACGAGTATTGCATAAAAATCAGTGCTCTGTTTCTAAGAATGTTTCACATAATAATAAACATTCCGTTCTAAAAATGTCAGTACTGCAATGGTTCTCATACTTTATCAAAGTGTTATAAATTTAAAGGTGCAGATATTACGACTAGGAAAAATATCATCTGGAAGAATTTATTATGCTTCAATTGTTTTTTGAAATCATCAAGTAAAATTTTGTTTATTGCAAACTTTATGTTCTATTTGTAAAGCAAAAAAGTAATAACGTAGTGGTGTCAAATTCATCTCCATCTGATGAACAAATTTCTAA